CCTCAGTAGCACAAAATAAGAGAATGAAATGTGGGCTGTTAAATATCAGGTCTCTGTCCTCTAAAGCTGTTCTAGTGAATGAATTAATATCAGATTATGATATTGATTTACTTTGTCTTACTGAGACCTGGTTGTCCCACGAGGAGTATGTTAGCCTAAATGAATCCACCCCCCAGTCATATTAATACTCACATTCCTCGAGGCACAGGCCGAGGAGGTGGAGTAGCAGCTATATATGATTCGAGCGTTTTAATGGACCCTAAACCTAAACTAAATTATAATTCATTTGAAAGCCTTGTTCTTAGTCTTTCTCACCCAAACTGGAAAACACTGCAGCCAGTTCTATTTGTTATAGTGTACCGCGCTCCTGGACCGTACTCTGATTTTATATCTGAATTTTCAGAGTTTCTATCAAGCTTAGTCCTTAAATCAGATAAAGTAATTATTGTAGGTGATTTTAATATTCATGTGGATGTTGACAATGACAGCCTTAGTAATGCATTTATATCATTAATAGACTCAATTGGCTTCTGTCAGAGTGTAAATAAACCAACTCATTGTTTTAATCACACTCTTGACCTTGTTTTATCATATGGCATTGATATTGAACATTTAATAGTCTTCCCACATAATCCTTTCCTATCTGACCATTATTTAGTAACTTTTGAATTCATACTATTAGATTATAAGCCATTAGGCAAAACTTCCTACAGCAGATGTTTATCTGACAGTGCTGTAGCTAAATTTAAGGAGGAGATTCCTTCAGTGTTTAATTCAATGCCATGTCTGAATTTAACAGAGTCCTATAACAACTTTAGTCCCTCTGAAATTGATAATCTTGTCGATAGTGCTACAGGCTCACTACGATCAACATTAGACTCTATCAGCTCCTATAAAAGGAAATTATTAAAACATAGGAGACTAGCACCTTGGTATAACCACCAAACCCGCCAGTTAAAGCAAATAGCTAGGAAATCTGAAAGGAAATGGCGCTCTTCCAAATTATCAGAATATCGCTCAAATTGGCAAGATGATCTTAAGATTTATAGAAAGGCCCTCCGTAATGCCAGAGGAGCCTATTACTCAGCACTAATAGAAGAAAATAAGAACAACCCTAGGTTCCTCTTCAGCACTGTAGCCAGGCTGACAGAGAGTCACAGCTCTATCGAGCCACATATCCCCATAAACTTAAGTAGCAATGACTTCATGAGCTTCTTCTATAATAAAATTATTACTATTAGAGAAAAAAATTAATCACCAACTGCCATCAACAGTTATCAGTGGCTCTCCAAGTTCAGGGACTTCTGTCAATGTAAACTTAGATGTATATTTAGACTGTTTTTCTGCTATCGATCTTCATCAGTTAACTTCAATCATTTCTTCATCGAAGCCATCAACCTGTCTGTTGGACCCGATCCCAACTAGGCTGCTTAAAGAAGTTGTTCCCTTAATTGGCACTTCTTTACTGGATATGATTAATCTTTCTTTATTATCAGGATATGTACCACAGTCCTTTAAAGTAGCTGTAATTAAACCCCTTCTTAAAAAGTCTACTCTTGACCCAGGGGTTTTAGCCAACTATAGACCGATTTCTAACCTCCCGTTCCTCTCTAAGATTCTGGAGAAAGTAGTCGCCAAAGAGTTGTGTGACTTTCTACATAACAATAGTTTATTTGAGGATTTTCAGTCAGGATTTAGAGTTCATCATAGCACAGAGACAGCTCTGGTTAAAGTTAATAATGACCTTCTGACTGCTTCTGACAATGGACTTGTCTCTGTACTTGTATTATTAGATCTTAGTGCTGCATTTGACACCATTGACCATGATATTCTTTTACAGAGACTTGAGCATCAAATTGGCATTAAAGGAACTGCCCTAACCTGGTTTAAGTCATACTTATCAGATCGTACTCAGTTTGTACATGTTAACGATGAATCCTCCATAAATACTAAAGTTAGTCATGGAGTTCCACAAGGTTCTGTACTTGGACCAATACTATTTACTTTATATATGCTCCCTTTAGGCAACATTATTAGGAATCACTCCATTAACTTTCACTGTTATGCAGATGATACGCAGTTATATCTATCAATCAAACCCAATGAAATTAATCAATTATCTAAATTACAAACATGTCTTAAGGACATAAAATCCTGGATGACCTGCAATTTTCTGATGTTAAACTCAGAAAAAACCGAAATTCTTGTTCTTGGCCCCAAAAACCTTAGAGACTCATTGTCTAAAGATATAGTCACTCTAGATGGCATTAACTTGGCCTCTAGCACCACTGTCAGGGAATCTTGGAGTTCTCTTTGATCAGGATTTGTCATTTAACTCCCACATAAAGCAGACCTCTAGGACTGCCTTCTTTCATTTACGTAATATTAGAAAAATTAGACACATACTATCACAGACAGATGCAGAAAAACTAATCCATGCATTTGTTACTTCAAGGCTGGATTACTGCAACTCTTTATTATCAGGTTGCCCCAATAAGTCCATTAAAACGCTCCAATTAATTCAGAACGCTGCAGCACGAGTACTGACAGGAACTAGAAAAAGAGATCACATCTCTCCTGTACTAGCTACTCTGCATTGGCTCCCTATAAAATGTAGAATTGAATTTAAAATACTCCTCCTCACCTATAAAGCTCTTCATGGTCAGGCCCCTTCATATCTTAAAGAGCTCATAGTACCCTATTACCCCACTAGAACACTACGTTCTCTGAATGCTGGGCTACTTGTGGTTCCTATAGTCTCTAAAAGTAGAACAGGAGCCAGAGCCTTCAGTTACCAAGCTCCTCTCCCTGTGGAACCGGCTTCCAGTTGTGGTTCGGGAGGCAGACACCCTCACCACTTTCAAGAGTAGGCTTAAGACATTCCTCTTTGATAAAGCTTATAGTTAGGGCTGGATCAGGTGAGTCCTGAACCATCCCTTAGTTATGCTGCTATAGGCCTAGACTATCGGGGGGATTTCCCATGGTGCACTGAGCTACTCTCTTCCTCTCTCTTTCTGCACTCATTCATGTACCTTTAATGCATGTTACTAACTCCACTTCTTCCCCGGAGTTCTTGTGCTTTCTCGTCTCGCAGGTTCTCATGGATCCTGGTGGAGCCTCCTGCCATGGTCCTGCTTGACTGCCATTGCCAATACTGTTGTTGCTGTGCACCTGTCTGTCTGTCTGTCGCTCTCTCTCTCTCTCTCTCTCTCTCTCTCTCTCTCTCTCTCTCTCACCCCAACTGGTCGAGACAGACGACCACCCACCTAGAGCCGGAGGATCTGTCCTAGGTTTCTGCCTTTTAACAGGCAGTTTTTCCCCTTGCCCTTGTCGCCAAGTGCTTGCTCATGGTGGTACTGTTGGGTCTCTGTAATTAATGTTAAAGAGTTCGGTCTAGACCTGCTCTATTTGAAAAGTGTCCTGAGATAACTTCTGTTATGAATTGGCGCTATACAAATAAAATTGAATTGAATTGAATTGAATCAGTGTCAATGTTAGTGTATGAGCTGTCGACATCCATAGTGAACATGATGGAGTCAGGGGGATCTGGAGTTGTTTGACTGTATTAACAAAATGGTAGGTGTCCTTGAGATAGCCCAAATGTTTATTAGAAAGGGGATTGATGTAGTAATCAATAAATTGGGCCGTGTAGTAGGTCTCACTGTCACAATCAGAGACAATAGGCCTCCCAGGTGGGATTTCGAACGGGACACTCCATTTTGAGGGTTCTTTATGGATCTTGGGCAGCAGGTAAAACAATCTTGGCCAGGGGATCGGATTACCCCGCAGGTAAGTGTATTGTTTTTTATTTATTTATTTATTTAATTTTTTGTCTAATAATGATTGGATAATTGGTTGCACCATTTTTTTTGGTTTCAGGGTAGATAGGTTCCTTTAAGACAGAATAATACTTTTTGTCTGTTAGCTGTCTGTTGCCCTCAAATAAATATTGTTCCCTGTCCATCATTACTACTGCACTGCCTTTATCTGCTGGCTTTATGATGATGTTTTTGTTTTCTTTTAGGTCCTTAAGGGCTTCAATTTCATCTTGGTTCAAATTGTTCCTGATTGGGAGTGGCTGGAAATTGTTTTCAAAATAATTAATATCCGCTTGGATGAGGTCAGTGATTTCTGGTGGCAATTTAGACAGGGGGGGCTCCAATCAGATTTTTTGGGTAAAGGGGGTGAAAGTCACATCTTTTTTGTTTTGAAAACATGGAGTTTAATTCTCCTATGATATTGCTGCAAGTCCCATCTGCCCTGCTCAATGATGTGGCGCTGACTCCCCCTAGTGTGGATGAAAGAGAGGCCCCTGTCCAGGAGTGTGAACTGGGCCTGGGTTAATTTGAATGTCTGTGATAACACCAGTACATTTTGACCCCTCCTGAGAGTGCAGGCTTATGGGGATGTGCATTTTAAATACCCCGTCCAGTGGTCAAACTTGTTTGGCGGTGGCTTTTGTCCAGTGTATGTTATCTGCCCCAGTTTCAAAAGATTTGGAGGGCAGTCTGGGGATGAAGAGGCAGTTTTTTTGGATATGTGCGTAGAGGTGGACCAGGCAGGACTGCTCTTTGAGAGAGGTAAGTGATGGGAATAATTGATTAAGGGCACCCAAACTGCCGCTTGAGGGAAGGGGTTTTTTCAGGGGGGTGAGCTAGTGTTACTGGTGAGTGGGCCCGTGTTTCCAGTGCCATCAGTTCCCTTTTCTCCCTGTTTGTGTGGATTTGTGCCTGAACACTGTGTTGTGTTTGTGTTTTTTGTTTATCGAACACAGGTGGTGGAGCTGTGGCAGGGGGTGGTGGCGGGCAGTCAGGCTTTCCCCCATCCGTGTCTGGGTCGAGCTGCACGACCATGAGGGCCTCCACCTGCTCCAGGGTCTCAGCCTGGAGTCTCCTCCCCAGGTGTCTCTTTGCCCAGGTGGAGGCCACTTGAAAGGGGTGTTGTATATTCCCAGTTTTTTTGCATTGCTCTCAATGAGGAGTAGGGCCCCCTCACTGGGGCTGGCCGGTTTAATTGTGGTGGCCAAATTAGTTGTCAATTTCTGGATTGATGGGGGGGGCTTGTCGGTTGAGACATTTTTCAGGTGGTGGGCCAATGTAATGATCTTTTCCATTATCCTGACCTTAATGCCAAAATCAGGATCATCAGACTGTTGTCTGTTCCCATTTCTGTTTCTCTCCCTCTTTCCTCCATGTGTGCCATGTGTTTTCATGGTGTCTGCCTCCCGAACCACAACTGGAAGCTGGTTCCACAGGAGAGGAGCTTGGTAACTGAAGGCTCTGGCTCCTGTTCTACTTTTAGAGACTATAGGAACCACAAGTAGCCCAGCATTCAGAGAACGTAGTGTTCTAGTGGGGTAATAGTAATAATTAATAATTACCAAGCTCCTCTCCTGTGGAACCAGCTTCCAGTTGTGGTTCGGGAGGCAGACACCCTCACCACATTCAAGAGTAGGCTTAAGACATTCCTCTTTGATAAAGCTTATAGTTAGGGCTGGATCAGGTGAGTCCTGAACCATCCCTTAGTTATGCTGCTATAGGCCTAGACTATCGGGGGATTTCCCATGGTGCACTGAGCTACTCTCTCTCCTCTCTCTTTCTGCACTCATTCATGTCCCTTTAATGCATGTTACTAACTCCACTTCTTCCCCGGAGTTCTTGTGCTTTCTCGTCTCGCAGGTTCTCATGGATCCTGGTGGAGCCTCCTGCCATGGTCCTGCTTGACTGCCATTGCCAATACTGTTGTTGCTGTGCACCTGTCTGTCTGTCTGTCGCTCTCTCTCTCTCTCTCTCTCTCTCTCTCTCTCTCTCTCTCACCCCAACTGGTCGAGACAGACGACCACCCACCTAGAGCCGGAGGATCTGTCCTAGGTTTCTGCCTTTTAACAGGCAGTTTTTCCTTGCCCTTGTCGCCAAGTGCTTGCTCATGGTGGTACTGTTGGGTCTCTGTAATTAATGTTAAAGAGTTCGGTCTAGACCTGCTCTATTTGAAAAGTGTCCTGAGATAACTTCTGTTATGAATTGGCGCTATACAAATAAAATTGAATTGAATTGAATTGAATTGAATTGCATTCCTTTGCACATGTACACATTGTTTTATCCCAGATCTACAGTGGTTAACCATGGCATGTGGGACCAACTCAGGGTTGACCATGGCAGGGAGTTTTACATGTGCTTGTACATGCAAGAGATGCTATCAAGACATAGACACAACCCTAGCAGGCCACCATACCTTCAAACAACATCAACAAGGGTGAGGTCTTTGTAATACGGACAAACAGTACAACCAATATAATCAAACACAGTAAAGAAAGAAAGACTGACCATTTTTACTTCTAACAAATAAGGAATGAAAGCTTTTAAAATGGGAATGAATTTCCCAAACTAATCTATAATCTATTACATTTTTATACCATCTGAAATCATGTTTTGTGTTCAACAGAATCTTCGAGTGGAAAGGATTTGGCCCGAGGTGAACAATCGTGTGAACTACCCATTGAAACAGGCCCTGGTACACCTGCTGGACCAAGGAAGTCCTCAACATGGAGGACAATATGACTAAATTCTGCATTTCAAACCTGACATGTCATTTAAGCCAAATTGGACTAGGCAGATTGGTACAATCGTGGAATGCACACAGGATCCCAGGTTAGGGTTAGGGGTTAGGGTTAGGGTTAGGAATAGGGATGAGTGCAGCATTAGACATTGGTCTAATGAGCATGTTCCTCCTCACAGGAAGGTTGTAGAGAGTTCAAAGGGTTAGGGTTAGGGTTAGGGGTTAGGGGTTAGGGTTAGGGTTAGGGGGTTAGGTCTTGGGAAAGAGGGTTAGGGTTAGGGTTAGGGAAGGGAACTGTCTCCCTCCGAAAGGGGAAGGAGGGTGCACGGTCCATCCAACCCTCGGACCTCCCGTAACCCCAGTCCCAGGGTGGCTGACGGGGACGCTGGCGGCGTCTCCCATAACGGGACCTCTGTCCAGCCATCCATGGTCGACTTCGAAATTAAACAAAAAAAGGGTTAGGGTTAGGGTTAGGGGGTTAGGTTTGGGTTGGGGTGGGGGTCTCCACCTAAGTGGGAGGCCCCCCCAAAGTGCACTCTCCACCCTGTGGATGGCCAGCTCTCCGTCTCCATCTTCTCCAAAGAGGTTTTATAAGCTCACTATTAGAGTTATATTAGACCGGTTCGCCTTTGTTATATGAAGTATAAATATGTAGGTCCTATTTTTCATGTTCTGTTCTCTCTCTTGTATGTCAGGTGGCGTTCGCTCGCGACGTTTCGTCCGCTTCTTGGGACTTCTTCAGGCTGCCATGACATACAGGTGGTTTTCTTGTGATTTTAGAGGTAAATATCCCCTTAAAGTGAGGTAAGTATTCCTATTAGTTGAGGTAAGTATCCCCTTTAGTTGAGGTAAGTATTCCTTTAAGTTGAGGTAAGTATTTAATTTATTTGAGGTAAGTATTTAATTTAGTTGAGGTGAGTATCCCCTAACTATGAGCCCCTCTGGGGAGATGTGGCTCCCTCAGAGGGCCGTGCCAAACTGAATTCAAAATGTCCGCTGCTCCCTTTTGTACTCTGAGCCCCTCCCTTTCTGAGAATTCGTGTTATTCCTCCATTGTAGTGACTTTCTCCAACTGCCATTTCCCATGTCTTTTTTCAAAATAAAAATCCTTTGTTTCTGGTTCCAATTCTTTGCCTTTAATTTAAATAGTGTTCATATCTATGATTAACACTTTGTTCACTGGGTATGTGTGCCTCCCTTTAATGGCTACACTTCATCCATGGTATTTAAATGCCTACTTTATTTAGTGGCTTCCTCCATTATATGAGCTTAGAATGTCCTTCACTGAGGTTTAAAGATAAATTAAGGCCAGTATTTTGGAGCCAGAGTGGGGACTAGATTTGAATAGGGCCTAGGATTTGGGGTTAGGGCCTCAAGGGGGCTTAGTTAGGGTCCAATTGGTTAGGGTTAGTTCAGAAATATATGGGTTAGGGTTAGGGTTAGGGTTAGGGGGTTAGGTTTGCATAGTATGAATTTTGGTAGGCCAGGCTAGGACTCTGGTGCACTGGCCTGGGGGCGTATGGTCCGTTGCACAGACCCCACCTCCCTGGAAATAAAATTGTATTAAACATAATGAACATAAGGATAAAGGAAAAAACAACAAATGGTGTTTAGGGAAGGACAGCTGTAGAAACAAACAAACAATTGTGAGGTTGTGAGATGCTCGCTCCAAGCTGTGTCTTCCTCAGTCACAGGTGCAGCTCAGGAGTGTTGCATATGGAGTGACATTGTCTCAAGCGTAATAAGTAAATTAACAGAATGAGATGATCATAATAGGCAACAGGACCAGGTTGTAAAAAGCAAACAAACACAGACAGAAAACAAAAATGACATAATTGATTTGTTGGAGGTAATTGTATTTATTTTTAATAAATTTCTTTTGATGCGTGTCACTATGTTTTTCATGATCTGGTGTGCTGGTCCGGAAGATGGTTGAAACAGGCCGGGTTCCCTCCGCTCTCTAACTCTGTTGACAGGTTCAGGTAAGTACAATGAATAATAACTGGAGTTTAGATGAAATGCAAGAATGATGGTAAGTTATTTAATTCGGCCTTCCCAATGTAACTGAAAATTGTAGATTAAACTATGTGATGTTTTGAATGGGTGCCAATGTAAAATGTGTGTCATGTAGTATGTTGAATTAGCTCAAAATTATGTGTTGTAACTAACCTGTATGTGACATGTGTGACATTAATTTTCTAGGTCTGAAATGAAGTCTGCCAATATTGTGAGCCAGTGAGAGTAAATCCTGTTGGCTGTATCTGGTGTCCAATGTATGTTGTCCGGGAGAGTGTTGAACTCATCGTACGGAAGTGATGGGAAATGTGTCAGGTGGTTTGATATGTAATCATTAATTGTTGTCAGATTCTGCTGTTGTGTGGTTGACAGAAGTGGTGAAAAGTTGATGATTGGTATAACTGTGGTGGCATTAGGGAAGGCCGATTTAGCTCTGTTAATCACTGTTCTCAGTTGTTTCAGAGCGGTGCTGTGAGGGTCCTGATCCCTGTTATTTAGGCCCACCGAGAGGATCAGCAGTTGTGCTTGGTAATTGATCGGTGTTTTGGCCAGGATTTTTCCAAAATGGTAGAAGGAAGCTCCCGGGTAACTGTCAGCCTGGATGAAAGGGTGGTTAAATTTAGGAATACTGAGGATATTTGAATCCCCCAGTATCGCGATGGGTTTGTTAATTTTAAACTCCCAATCCCGCAGTTTGCGGTTGTCGTAGGTTAGGTGGTGCGTGGGGTCAGAAGTGACCTCATCCGTGGCCATGTCTCCAGCAGGAGGGGCATCCTCCTCGGCGCGTGCTCCAGGCTGGTGTGAGGTTAGAATATCTGAGGGGGGATCAGAGTTAAGATTAGGGTCTGTCATGTTGACTTTATGACCTTGTTTTCTCATCATTTTATTCCCCCTCCTCAGGTTCTGCACTTTGCCGCAGAGCTGCTGCCGATTTGGACCGTTCATTGTCCCACCTCTGCTGGACACAGGGGTCCTGGAAGTGGAAACCACCGATCAGTTGTATGCCAGAACTGCGGGATTGGGAGACCTGTTTTTCGTTATTGTTTTTATGGGAAAGTGTGGTTATTTCCACAGGCTGACAGTCAAACCCGGGAGCCCTGGTGTCCACCGTCCTCTGGGGGCAGCACCTGTCGGAGGAAGTGTGAGGTGAGTGGTTCTGTGTGACCAGGAGTGTGTCCACAGGCTGTGGGGAAGAATCATTAGGCTGGGAAAAAGGGGGGTTAGAATCAGACAAATTGGTGTAAAACAAAAGGTCATCATCTGTGAGAGAAGAAGGGGAAGGAGGAGGAGAAGAGGGGCAGGAAGCGGTAACTGTGGGGAAAAGTAAGTCATGTGCATCAGTAAGTGTATGAGGACTCATTTTATTTTCATAGCGTCTGTGTGCCCACTGTGTGGCTACTGTAAATGCTAGGTGGTCCCCTGTGATGTTTGTGAGGTGTGTTATGGTGTTATTGTAATGTTTTAATAAAATGTGCATGTTGTTGTGCATCCATTTTGTGGTGTTGTCCCTTAAAATGTCTGATGTTTCTTGTGTGGGTGAAGATGGTTTGATGAAAGCAGCCAGTTTAAGAGTCTGTCTCCACATTCCTGCTGGAAATAGTCCTTCATCATTTGTCCGTAGTAAGTTGTTTTTATGATGTAATGCTTGTATAAGTTTGAAGTGTTGTTTTGCTAATGTTCTGGTGGATGTGTCTAATGCTAGTTTAGGTGGTATGTGTGTGCTTGTAGGTGAAATGTTTGTTCTGTGTGTGGTTCTCCCTCCGCTAACCTGCCGAGTGTGTGTGGAAAGAGGAAAAGAGTTTTTGTGATTAGCAGCTGTGGGTCCGCCTGTTCCCCCGACCTCGCTCCTGTCGGGGATCGCCGCCCCTCCACCCTGTAAGCACCCGTGTGTGTTTCACCCACCTGTGTCCGTCTCCCGCTGCGCTGCTGCTGCGGTCTCTGCGCCATCCCGTGTCGTTCCGTGATTCCGGGGTTCCTATAGTGTAGGCTTGGAGGAATATAGTCCGTGCTAAATGCAGCGGGGAAATCCGACAGGTGCGGGAGAGGAAAGTGAGGCGCTCGGGCAAGCGGAGGTGTTTTCACCGGGTGCTGTTTAAAACTTAACTTTTAATGATTGTAAATTTAAAACCAACGAGGGTCTCGTTCCGAATAAACAATTTGCTAATTAAAAAGTTTGTAAAAGGCAGCGATCCAGCCGAGCGAGCGGGCTCCCCTGACGTTTCGTGCCCTGCCGGCACTTCTTCAGAGGGGAAGAGAAGGAGGAAGCAGGCTGCGGGGTGAGAGGGCAGTTTATGAATGGAGAATAGACTCTCTCCATCCAATCGGCTGCCCTCTCACTCCCGATTGGCCCACAGCTGGGTTAGGGTTAGGGTTAGGGTTAGGGTTAGGGGTAGGGTTTCCACATAGACAATGAATGGCGAAAGCTTGATTCCATGTTCAAAAACCAGATTGTCATCTAGTAGACAGGATTCCGGATTCCACGTT